GGTGAGCCTACATTCATTTACCTATTTCTTGTGGAATTCTGACAATGATTTTAAAAGAACATCAGAAAACGTATGAAAGTCACTTAGCAAAGTGCTTGGTATATTGCATTAATAGTACTCAGAATCAAATCTGAAAAATCTCTCAAAGTCAGACAGAGGCAGATCTAGGTGTTACTCTCGTCACCTGGGAATGTTTTTGATAATGTGCAACTCTACAGATTAATGCCCATCCCAACCCACCTACCTCCAACCATCCCATAACACTCTGATTCTTCTTCATTTGCTCAGCTGTAAACTTAACTTAAAAAACAAAATACGGTCATTGTACCCTGGGTTTAACACCCAGAGAGCTTCTTCAGGTGCAAATGCATTCCGTCCTTGGGTTTGAGGACAGTGTGGTTTGAGAAGGAAAGAGGCCGGGTGAGGTCTGGAGACACTCTGAAGCGGAGCAGAATCAAAGCAATGGCCACCTTCAACTCAACCATGGCAAGCTGCTGCCCGATGCAGTTCCTGCAGACAGGGAGAGGGTGAAAAGGATGCTTGAAGCAATGACTTCTTTTTTTCTGATTCTCTAACAAATTTCTAGAATAACAAGTCTGAAGACCACAGTAAACTGCATTTTCACTCTAAATGTTGTAGAAACCTTTGGGCTTTGGCTTTACATTATTCACTGCAAAAATGTGGACTGGGAGGCCTTAACATGATGCCCTTCCTAAACAAGCAGTGGGGAACTTTGGCATTACCCTGGGAACTTTCTCCTGTATTGGAGAGGGTTATGTGGAGCCCATGGACAGCAACTTACACATGGGATTGCTTTCTGAGGCATGGCTATATAGGATGTAATAAGAAATGGCACAGTCCATGACAAAACTGACTCTTCCATGAGCTCAAGCAGACATCATGTGCGACCTATGAGAAGATGGAAGAACTTATAGGATAGAGGGGCTGAAGGGATGCAGCAATTCCTATCTAAACATTTTGTGTATTTTCAACAGCTTCAAATTACCCTCACCTTGGTCCAGCTGAGAATGCTAAGAAAGCGTAGGGGTGTCTTTGATCAGAATTCTCCTTAGTGAATCTCAAGGGGTCAAAGACCTAAAATGGGAAGACAAACACATAACCATCCCCAAAATAACATAAACACATTTCTAAAGCTACTACTTAGTGCTAATCAACAGAGGCATAATGTGAAACGTGTAATTTTAAGTGTTCTTGCAGCCACAATTTTAAAAAGATGAAATTACTTTTCATAACAGAATTTATTTAACAGAAAAATCTATTCCAACCTGTAATCAATATAAATAGTTATTAAGGAAAAAGTTCATGTTTGGAGGTACTAGGTCTTCAAAATCCACATCTCAGTTCTGGCTAGCCACATTTCAAGTGCTCAGCAGCTACATGAGGAGTGAAGCCTAAAATATTGTGTGGTCAATTGTAGTGACAACATGTAGTCCTGCTTCCTTTTATGTGTAATACAGTCGAAACCCAAGCCGTGTGTAGAAACAAAGCACTGGTACTTGAGTGTTTTAAATTTTAAGAACACTGAATCAAGGAGCTACACATCTTCTCTTTGCCTCTCCACATCCTCCTTCCTCTCTTTCCCAGTCTCTTCTGGGCTCCGGGAAGCTAACATGAATGGTTTCCCATTGTACTTGTACAATAAAAAGCATTGAGCAGGGGTCTGGAGAGTGAGAGGAGAGTCTGTCCCTGACTCCTCCCTGCCAGATGCCTCGGGCCGGCTGTTTCTCTACCACAGTTCCTAGTTGATGGCCCTTTTCCCGGAAGTGCTCTCTTTCTAGTTTCTGTAACTCTCCCTTCTGGGTCCCATCAGGCCTAAAATAGGAAAGCACTTCCGGTAGACATGTGCTCTAGTTTGCTTTCCCTAAACTGCCCATATCTTTCCAAATAGTTTGTTTGCAAAGCACTAAAATTTCCCTATTTGAGTATGTCATTAATTTCTCTCTAGGAGCCGACTGTTTTATTCAGCAAAAGAGAGCCTGACTTGCCTGCATTAGTCTAGCCACAGATTGGCAGATATTGAAGGAAGTGCTTTGTAGAGCTTGAGAAACAATTTAGGGCAGATTGTGTGTGATTATGTCAATCTGCTCATTCAAAGATAAAGCAGGGATGGGGAAGAGAACATGTTTCTATTAGTGAACAAGTTTTTGCAGTTTATGTTTATTTTTGCTGTCTTTGTTTTAACTGAATCATCACTTGCATGCTTGGCTGCCAAAAAATGAGTTGCACAGCACTCCTTCTCAGAAGTATGTCCGTGGAAGACAGTCATACCTGTGGGCTATTCCAGACAGCAGGGTTGTGGTGAAGACCCCAAATACTGAGAACCACATTCATTCCTGAGGCAGGAGGGAAATTAAAAAAGAATGCGGGGGGGAAAAACAGGGAAAAAATGGAAA